CCCAGGCAATGAAGCATGTGGTGCAATCCAATTAGGCTGTCAGTGGTACTTCGGCTCTCCCAGCCCTTTGCCACACCTTTTGCCAGGCAGGAGGAGAAGCCAACCCCCAGGTAACTCAAACAAAGAAAGATGTATTAATATAACATAAAACAGAACTTTGACCTTGCAAGGTTAATATGTGTGCACGCCATATAAACATTGGAAGGTGTGATGGAACAATAAATACATTTAATAAAGAAACAATATTGAACAATAAGTAGAATATTTTAAAGTAGTAACTGGAAATTAAACTAAAGTGAATCAACGGGTGGTGAGGTGTGGAGCTTACCATGTGTGGCATGCCATCACAGCAGGAGTAAACGAAAACAATGACAATGTGTACAGCAGATTTTGATGTGATCTGTCCCTTTAATGCTAAACTCAAACCTTGTTTTCAACAGAAGTTAAACATGCAGTCATTTTCAAAGCATTTTAAACAATAAAGAGTCCTTGTGAAATCTGAGGTAACATACAACTAAACCATCAGAAAATTCAATTTGTGACTGCTTACTATACAGCTGAATATATCAAATGCTTCAATGACAAATGAAAAAAGACAGAATTTATGAACTCAATGATAATCATACATATAACAATTACAGCTGTAACCATTAGTACACTCATCAAGTTCAAATGATGTCCATTTCAAAGTAATTGCTGGAAAAAACATTGTGAAACTCGGTGCGAAATTCAGGATAAGAACTGTAAGTGCATGGCACTTCAATGGTAGCTACACAGGTATGAGCAACGGGCCTTCTGTTGAGCCCAGTTTCAGCATTAAAGCACACCAAAATTTTGTCAACACATATCACAGAAGATCCAGTGCAGAAGCGCAGGATTTTTTCAGCTTTGGTTTCATCAGCGTTTTTAACATAACGCTGTAGATGGTTAAAGGTTGTCTGTTCTCCGTGAGACAGCATCAATTTTGTTGTTTCAAATAGCTGCACTAGTCTTTTGCCTGTGGCCTTCTTTGTCTCATACAGAGACAACACACTTTCCTTGTCTGACAGTTTCAGCTGCAGACGTGCCATGGGTGTGGAGAAGCAATCCATTATATATTTTGGCTCTTGGAGAATGGCCTTATGAGCCATTGTTTCAATGGCAGGCTGCATGTTGTTCTTAGGTGGCAGGAAGTGGGAACCCATCCTTGTAAAAAAGTCAAGCAGGTCCTCTTCATCATTTTCATCCATTGTGCCTTGGAGAGCCTTCTCAACAGCTGATCTCTCAACAGGAGGCAGATAGTTGAGAAACGATGCAATCAGAATGTCTACATCAACTGAGTCCATTCCGTGTATGCAGGCTAAAATGAAAGCCCTTGACAGCCTCACTGGAAAGACACCATGGTCTAGTAAGCCTTTCACCCATATCTGCCCAACTGCTTGCCATTCAGCCTCACTGAAGTCTGGCCTCAGCCTTGGAACTCGTTCGTTTTCACCTTCACACTGTTCCAAAAATTGCTCCCAAAATGCAGTGTAAACCTCCCTTGACACCCCAGCATCATCAACAGCATTTTCATTTACAAAGTTCATCTTTAAAGTCACATTCAGAATGCGACTGTCCATAAATACAGCCAAAAGATCATCAACAACTTTTATCCTGCGAATTGATACATGTAGGGGGCTCTGTGGGTCTCCTGAATTTGATGGGGAAAGTTGGTTGCTTGAATCTAAACGCAAACCTTGGGCGATGAAATTCAGTCCATGGTCCTGAGTAAAAGACAAAACATGCACATTTCATAAGAAATGCAAATGAACTGTACAGATTACACAATATCAATGTTCTGAAAAAGTTTGAAATTTATTTGTCTAATTTTAGTGGGCTGTACATTCCCAAACCATGGTTGCACTGACAATTGATATATAACATTAACATTGTGGCCTGATGGATGTCCTTGTATGCCTCACAGAAAATTATACAAGTGTTCTTTACATGTATGAGAAGACTCACTTCTGTGCAAAAAAGGTAGAGAACACAATAGTGACACCAAAACAATGTGTCACTGCTGTGTTATGTAAATAATTAGATTTCAAGACTAAATTTTCTGTTTAATCTTATCTTAATGTTAAACACTGGAATTGTCTCTCAACTGACAATATCCTTTTAATTCAAATGGACCCACAAACTGAAACAGAAAATAGCATGCAATTTTGGCATGTCTACAGTATGTAAAGATAGGTGTTTATGGTTGCCTGAATTGATCCATCTTACCTGTGCAATCTGGGGTGCTTCCTCCTGTATTGACTGCATATGGGGTGTGGGCAAGCCATTTGCTGAAGACAATGGGAGCAGGAAACCATCCACAGGTAATCGATTTGGGTCGGAATTCTGAGGAGGAAGTACTGCATTAATTGACAACAGACACCTTAACCCTTCAAGATTATAAAACTCTTCTTCAATCTTCTACCTTGGCCTATTCTAAATCATGAATGTTCTTAAAGGGTCTGCAAAATATGTCAATAGATTTTAAGAAATAGAAAAAAGATACACCTCTTTTTTTTCAGCCTACATGTCTCACTTAAGGACATATTACAATGGAATTCCACAGGTTTTTATCAGATCTTGATGTACTTCTTACTACTTAAAATGTTTTATTATTGCTGCAACAAAATCAAGTTTTAAACAAACAAGAGATGAATTCTGATTAATAGAAATCGAGCAAGTGTTTCACAGTACTGTAGGTTATTTCTTTTAAGATCCAAAAGAATAATATTACAGAAAATAACATACATGCTTAAATTTTGTCCAAGCAGGAATGCATGATCAGCTTTTTTAAAATCAGAACTATGCAAGTTCTTGAATTTGAGCATAAATAAATTTCCATATTTTGTAACACTTACATAAACCACCTCAACCACAACTGTCCATGGTCTTACCTGTGTAAGATCCTCACTGTTGACATAATTTAGGGTTATCACGACTGTGTCATCACAATCTGCTCTGACAAGATCCTCTTCAGGATTCCATAGAACCGTAGACCTGTTTTTTCCAGATGGGAACTCGCCAAAAGGGAGAGTTGAAGACTTTGTCATTGATGTCAGTGATTTTAAAAGGAATCTGATTCCTGTAGATGAGACTGTTGGCAAACTTTATGAACAAACCAAATCGAAGCTCCTGAGATTTTAAATTTGCACGAAAGATGAAACACCGTCAACAGTTCAGTCCTCATCTGAAGAGGATTTTTCTGTCAGCATAACTGAAGAAGATTCACCGGTGACATTACTTGGATCTGACAGTGAGACAGATGATTTTGTCCCAGATCTAGTTTATCATGGGGATTCATCTGACAGTGACACTGGCAAACAGGTTTGTTAAAATAAGAAAGATATTATTAGAAATGGGTCCCATCTCCAAAATCTTAGCTACAGTTGTAGTTTTTTCCACAGTTGCATGTCTTGTTCCTCCACCATTTCTGGTTCTCACTTGACGGTATTCATTATTGCTTAAATGAAGCCATCCGATTTCGATTTTTCTGCAGGTCTTCTCTGCTGCAGTATTTCTCTGTCTTGCCATCCCTTCACTTTGCTTTTGGAACACACCTGATGAACCACACAGCACTCCTTTGGTTTTTGATCTTACTTTCCGTGCCGCAATTTTATCTCTTAGGTTCTGCAGAACAGTCTCTTTATCTGTGCTGTACTTAGTTTGTTGACAGAAGGACTGGACAGCTAGTCTGTCACCATATGTCCTTATGTATTTTGCCATTTGTCCATCAGTCATGACGGACAGCACTGCCTTATCCACCTGCAGACATAAAACATTAGAGAAATGGTATTAATATACTTTTACTCTAGGAAGCCACACTAGCACACATGGAATACTAACTGTATTGGAATAGAGTTCTTAATCACTGTTCATGATCATTATCAAAAGTTACTCTGTCAACTTCTGTCTTATTACTTTACTGTTGCTGTGTTAGTATTAGTATAGTAATAGTAGTAGATATTTATATACTACGTTACTAAAAAATATTTTGCTAGTAAGGTATAAGTAAGGTAAGTTCCACCAAGTATTTTGTGCCATGGTGTCCATGCCTCACCCGATGAAGCCAACAGAACCACATCATCCGCAAAAAGCAGAGATGAGATTCTGAGGCCACCAAAGTGAAAGCCCTCCGCCACTTGGCTGCGCCTAGAAATCCTGTCCATAAAAATTATGAACAGAACCGGAGACAAAGGGCAGCCCTGGCGGAGCCCATCACCCACCGGGAACGAGTCCGACTTATTGCCGGCAATGCGAACCAAGCTCTTGCAACGGTTGTATAGGGATCGAATGGCCCGTAGCAATGGGCCAGACACCCCATACTCCTGCAACACCTCTCACAGGACACCCCAAGGGACACCGTCAAATGCCTTCTCCAAGTCCACAAAACACATGTAGACTGGTTGGGCAAACTCCCATGCACCCTCAAGTATCCTTGAGAGGATAAAGAGCTGGTCCAGTGTTCCGCGACCAGCACGAAAACCGCATTGTTCCTCCTGTATCCGAGGTTCGACTAGCGGACGTACTCTCCTTTCCATTATTATTATTATTATTATTATTATTATTATTATTATTATTATTATTATTATTCAAAAGCTTTTTTCTTTTGTAAACTTAAAATGTGATTGTAGGTGGTGTTTGGACTGACTCCTCTGAGAGTTTACTGCCAGCCCAAAACCAGAGAAGGCCACGTGATAATTCTTATGCGATAGAGGACGAGAACATCTGGTAAATATAGAAAGCTTAACAATACACATAATATAAAATTACTAACAATTTATAATTCGGTTGTATAATATCTATATTATTTTAATCCTTTCTCTAGGTTTAGCAGCCAATATATCCATCATCTTGGAAGATCCCGGATACTACCATCAGCCAGAGGGACAGGACAATGAGAATCCCGGATCCTACCAGCCACTTTTCTCCAGAAACGCTGACCCTACTTGTGGAAGAGTGGGGTAGTGATACAAAAACTGAAATTTCTTAAAATTAATGAAAAAATAAATAAAAATGCAAAGGGCCTCATGTCACAAACATGTTTTATGAGGAATACCTCAAATATGAAAATATTACAACTCTTCCTCTGAAAGATTTTGAAGAATAACAACCGAGTTTATAGCAAAATGCACTGATTTTATTTGGGGTCATTTTTGACCCCACTCGTGGAAGAGTGTTGGTATTGGTAGGTTGTGCATCCAAGGGTTAAACCGTTTGTCAAAACATTTTTGAAATTCCAGCAGCAGGCATCCTACTACCCGAAAAGTGTCAAAACAGCTGAGGAACAGCAAACATTTGTTCAAGACTATTATGAGAGAAGGCATCAGATAGACCCTACTAAGATTTGTGTAAACAAAGCAATCAGAAGCTGTAATAAACTGCTTCTGAACTCTCTGTGCGGTCGATCGTGCATGTGAACAAACATGCCATCTTACGAGCTGATTACAGACCCAGCCAGATTCACACAGCTGATGTTTAGCAACCATTATTACGTACGTCAGTTTTGTTTCATCTCTGATGATGTTGCCATTGTTCAGTGGTCTCACGCTGATGGTAGAGGGCCACAGGTGAAGGATGTGAATGTCTTTGTCGGTGCTGTGACTACGGCCTATGCAAGGCTAGCGCTGTATGACTTGTTAGAAAAGCTGCAGGAACGCATTCTTTATTGCGACACAGATTCAATTATCTTCACCTGTCATCCCAGGGAGTGGGTGCCCCCCTTAGGACCATACCTCGGTGAGCTGACTGACGAGCTCAATGATGGTGGGTCTGGAGAGGATGATTACATTAGTGAGTTTGTCTCTGGAGCCCCAAAATGCTATGCTTATTACACAAAACAGGGCAAGACTCAGGTTAAATGTAAAGGTGTAACACTCAATGATTTTAACTCTAAAGTGGTTACCCACGAATCATTGAAATGCTTAGTCCGGGCATTTGTGGCCAACAGGGATGTGCATTTAGTTGCTGTGTCCGACACCATCAAGCGCATAAGAACAGGTTTCACCTCAGGAATGAAACAGTTGTAAAGAATCTGTAAATGCTGCCTGATTATACAACACTCACTTATGGATACTGATCAGGATCAAGCCTTTGATGGGAGGCTGCAACACCCTTTTAGTTTATTTATTAGTGGTCCGAGAAATTGCGGGAAGACTTTCTTTGTCAAAAGCATCATTAAAAAAAGCATCCACCATTATTTCAACCAAAATTGATAATATTGTTTACATCTACTCCTGCTGTCAGGCTTTATACAATCAACTTCTTCAGACAAGAAAAATCACCTTAGCGGGTATACCGGAATCTCTGAGTGACGATGTCCTTTTACCTCCGGATAAGAACAACTTGCTCATTATCGACGATGTGATGAATACAGCGTCTAACAGCATAGAAGTTCAAAATGTGTTCACAAAATACGTTCATCATAGGAACTTGAGCTGCATGTACTTAGTTCAGAATTTGTTTATGCAAGGAAAATCCAGTAGAACAATTTCATTGAACACTAATTATTTAATTCAGTTTAACAACCCTAGAGATAAATACCAAATTTCAGTTTTAGGTAGACAGATGTTTCCAGGTAATACAAAAAATTCTTAGAAGCTTTTAATGATGCCACATCTACCCCATATGGGTATCTTCTAATCGATTATAATACGCCTGACTATTTAAGACTCAGAACCGATTTGTTGTTGGATCGTCAAATTGTTTATATCCCCAAAAAATGGCTAAAGAGGTAAAAAAAAAAAAAAAGGATGTCGTATTTGCATGTAGCGCAAAATGAGCTAGACAAAGCTATGGTTGAAGTGCTGCAGCTGCCAGATTTGGATGTGTATGAGAAGGCTAAAAAGTATTCTGCCATTCATCAGAGATACCTTTCACTTGTGAAACAAGGCATGAGTGAAAAAAACGTGCTAACACTATCTTTGCCCTCTGAAACTGGCCAGAATGCATCTGATCGTCAAGGCAATGTTGGAGTTGACGGACAAAAGGACATGTTTGTGGATGAGGTTTTGTCCTATATGGCAAAAAGGAGCAGAAAAACTGCAGAGCTTATGACAGGGGATTTCTTTAAATCACCTCGTAGTTCTTCAGCTAAGAAACCTGAGATAGAAAACACAAACACTGCTGTCTTTCACTCGCACGACCTGCGTCTCATCACTGTCTGCGTGCTTTATTTATACTTTTCTGTGTGTCTGTGTGTGTGTGTGTGTGTGTACAAATAGCTCAGAGTTCTTATTCTAAGAACTCTGAGCTGAGGTTCCCCTTTTTCTAAATCTGCATGTTCTTACAGAAAGAGGAAGCTGTAAGTTGTTTATCACAGAAGAGTTCATGTCAAAAGTCACGTAG